TTTGACCTGTTGAAGAAACAATTTGTAATGCATTTTTGTTATTCAATGTTTACTTATTTTGTGTTCTATCTCGTCTAACTATTTTAATATGTACAACCTTTGATAAGTATTTAGTATGACGATAAATTTTCACTGCTGTTCTCGTACTATGAACAACAAATTTATTTATTTTGTAAAAACTATCTCCGTACTCCTAACATCAAAATCATTATATTCAAATTTACCTGTGTAAGTTATTTTATTTAACGCCATTTTGTCCAAGGTTATAGTTGTCTATTTTACATTGTTTTACATCCCCCCTTTTTTATTTGATATTGTATTTATATTGTGTCATAGATCAGATTTATTCGTTCAGTGTATGTTTACTTGCTTTTGTTTTAAATATGTCTTTTTGATTGAGTTAAGCCAATTCAATTGATATTTTATAGTGTGTCTTTCTATGTTGTAATGTTACACTACTATTTCAGGTTAGGTTGAAGGTTGGCGCCTGTTAAAACGTTTAAACTTGCTGCATTTGTTTGCACCTGTCCTAAGTCAGGAACCTGTTTCAGTGGTTGTCGTTTGTTGATGTGGTTCTTAAGTGTTTCTCGTTTCTCGTTTTTTATATAGATTAGACCGTTGGTTTTCCTGTTTGAATTGTTTTACACTAGTCATTTTGGGGCCCTTTATAGCTTGCTGTTCGGTGTGAGTCAAGGCTCCGTGTTGAAGGCCGTACTTTGACCTATAATTGTTTACTTTCTACAAATTGTTACTTGGATGGAGAGTTGTCTCATTGGCACTCATACCACATCTTCTTATTTCTATGTATAATCACGCGGTGAATATAACTTTTCTTCATTAAATATTCGGTTTTATTCAAAATCCAAATCAAATAAAAAAAAACCTTCTAAAATAATACCAATATGGAATAATCTTGAATATTATTCCCCACTGGAAGAAATATTACTGAATATGTTCCTAACGGAATAAAGGATATAAAGTCAGGAGCCGGTAATTCAGTGGTGTCGTTTGTGGCTGTATATCATATTTGTTTTTCGTTTGTCGTTTTATACATAAATCAGGCCGTTAGTTTTCTCGTTTGAATGGTTTTACATTTGTCATTTCGGGGCATTTTATAGCCTGCTATACGGTATAGGTTATGCTCATTGTTGAAGGCCGTATACGGTGACCTATAGTTGCTACCTTCTACGTCATTTGGTCTCCGGTTGAGAGCTGTCTCATTGACAATCAAGCCACATCTTCTTTTTTATGTATATAAATGGTAAATTATTAAGTCAGGGAATTCGTTCCGTCAATTTACTTAAAATCTTTACTAAAGTCTTTTATTGATACCAAACATTGGTTTGGAAGTTTGGTTATTCCTGTGAAAACCTTATTGCAAAACATTGGTTTGGAAGTTTGTTTGTGAAAACCTTATTACAAAACATTGGTTTGGAAGCTTGGTTGTACATGTGAAAACCTTATTACAAAACCTTGGTTTGGAAGTTTGGTTGTACCTGTGAAAACCTTATTACAAAGCGTTGGTTTGGAAGTTTGGTTGTACCTATGAAAAACCTTATTACAAACGGGGTTTCACATCCTTGTTGTTACGATGATGTTGTTTATAGAGCCCGATAATTTATATAAGATTGATCCTTTGAATAAGTTTATTTTCATAGGTTATGAATTTAACAGAATATTGTTTTATAGGTGCTAACATTGAATTGTTCTTATTTTTGTTTATGAATTAATTCTACAGACATGTACATTTTGTAGTTATGAACACTTATTGTCAAACATCCTGCCCATCTTTATATTCTGGCATTGCACAAGGTCATCTTAAAAGTTCATCGGAAGATACCAATGTTGATAAATATTCCGTATCAACTTCACAAATAATACACGATGGTCTTGAAGTATAAATTCTGTGTACTGACGTTGTTTATCATCTTAATAACGTGTTATAGTATTCTTTTATTTGTCTATTTGAATATTATTATTACTGTTTAGTCTATTTTTGGTGATATCCATTTGACGTGGCTCTGTACTTATACATCCCGTCATTGTGTTTTTGTGCTATGGTAATATTTTTTATTCTTGTCTTTCATTTTTGCTAATGTGCTTTGTCTATATGCCCTTTTGTGTATCTTTGTTACACATGACGTGGCTCTGTACCTATACATTCCGTCATTGTGTTATTGTGCTATGGTAAAATTTTGTATTCTTGTCTTTCATTTTTGCTAATGTGCTTTGTCTATATGCCTTTTTGTGTTTCTTTGATACATATGACGTGGCTCTGTTCTTATACATCCCGTCATTGTGTTATGGTATATTTTTGTATTCTTGTCTTTCATATTTGCTAATGTGCATTGTCTATATGAATTTTTGTGTTTCTTTGTTACATATTTGTTTGTTTTTATAGTGATTAAGATTATAACACAATGTTGATTGCTGTACCCCAATTTTTGACATTTTTACCTATTGTGTCTGTTTGTTTTGTTCACACATCGTTGTCAATATAATGGAATTTTATGCGACTGTCATACAAGTGAGAGGTTTAGCTAGCTATAAAACCAGGTTCAATCCACCATTTTCTACATAAGAAAATGCTTGTACCAAGTCAGGAATATGACAGTTGTTATCCATCCGTTTGATGTGTTTGAGCTTTTGATTTTGCCATTTGATTAGGGACTTTCCGTTTTGAATTTTCCTCGGAGTTCGGTATTTTTGTGATTTTACTTTTTATTTATCAGTTTATGAAGTCTTTATCTTAGTCCGTTGGATGTGTACTAGTTCAGATTGAAAGAATAAGCCCAATTTTGTTTCTTTAAAAAGAATGACAGAAAGTACAAATATTTTATTTTAGGAAGGGATAAGTCATATATATATATATACTTTAAACAAATCCACTATGATACAAACACACATATTTTTGAAACTGACATTATTTATATGCTGGATTTTTTTAATTGACAGCCTATTTGGTACGTTTGGAGGACGTGTTTTTCAACAAACAATCAGCATTCCTATGGGAACAAACTTTGATCCTTTTCTTGCCGACTTGGTTCTTTATTCATGTGAGACAGCCTTTATGCAGAAGCTTCTCAGGAAGAATGAAAATAATCTAGAATTTTTATCCTTTAACTTCACGTTCCGCTATATAGACGATGTCCTGTCACTAAAAATTTAAAGTTTGGTGACTATGTTGAAAGCATCGATCGCATCGAACTTGAAATAAAAGATACCACAAACTTTACGACAAAAGGGATGATTTCAGCTTTCTTATTGTGAACTTCCATTTCTATGTAACAACATTTCAGCAGCGCCTGTATAAGGAGAATATATCTTCCACTTGAATTATGTTCCAGAGCTTACGTTTTCTATCATGGATTCTTTGGTAATATGTTTCTGTTTACAAGGAAGCTATTGAACCAATGGTAACAAGTGGTAAAGTTGAAGTCATCCCTTCGAAAATTTTACGGTTGGTAGAGTTTACATGAGCGTAGTGTGTTCATTTGATCCTTGCCCGCTGATTGGCAGAGTTTATAGAAGCGTTATGTGTTTCTTATATCCTTGCTTGCTGATTGGTAGAGTTTACGAGAGCGTAGTGTGTTCATTGAATCCTTGGCCGCTGACGGGTAAAGTTTACATTTATTGCTGATTGACAACAAAGTGGATTGAAGATTGAACCAGGATCACGGGCTACAAGTGTTCTTGTAATATAAATCCAATTTTATCAAAAAACTGTATATTAGAAACTGGAGGAAGACTTATGAAATCCATACTGAAAGATCAAAAAGTAACTTTTGTATGACTTAAATATTAGAAACAGAAAATTGCATTTGAAAACTGACTTTAAAATAAGAATAATACAAGTGGGGCGATTAAAAATCGAAAAGGATCATATCGTGAAATAAAATCCTTCCCAGTTTTTTGAAAATGACAAAAATAATAGTTTTTATTTCTGAAAATTCTGTAATTAACAATAACAATGTAACGAGTTAAGTGCGTGCTATTTCTAACAAGAGGTACATGTACTTATCTGGTCTCGAAACGGATGTTGCCCTTATTATACCACAAGGAGGAAGAATTATTTGAACAAGTTTGTTTTTCAAATTTTGAATTGTTTGACTTTAATTTCAGTTCCAATTGACATTGTAAAGGATGCATATATTTATAAATAAGTAAAACAACCGTATTTGATGATGCCAGTGTGTTTTCAGTGAATCTGTGATATGCAACAGTCCTACTCATGACTTAATACGTTAATTGTCGTCACCAATAGCTACATGCTAATGCGATACATTTTTCGCTAAGTTTATAGAGTGTTTTGTGTCCGGGGTACCGGGTTCTTTTTAAAGAGATTTAGTATTTCCCCGACCGGCATAAGCGGGCACCAGTCATATATAGTAATTATTTTATGTAACGGATACACGAATACATCAAGGCATCGCAATATTTATTTAGAGTCAATGAACTTTAGCATTACATTATAATGAAATAATTTAATTTTGGATGTAATACGTCTTCTGATTGGCTGACGTTGTTTTGTTTATCAGCTCATAGACATAATTTTGTCATGTGACCGTGACGTCATCAACGTTTTTTCATGGTTTACTCCGGTAAAAACTTTCAAATGGAATTTAGAATTAAATTATAAGAAATGACTGTAATATTTTTTCTGTCTATTCGAAATAACATAAAAAATGTGGTGCACACTTTAAAATAACACGCTACGCGGGTTATTCAGTGTGCACCACATTTTTGATGTTATTTCTTCATAGACAGAAAAAATATTACAGTCATTCCTTAAATGAATGTATGATTTAAATTGTGAATGGTCAATGCACTGTTGATAAGTAGCTTTGTACACATACCTGATCATATGAGGTTATTTTCTGAAATTGTCAGAAGCTGGATAGATACTTATTCTGTCTTTACATGAAATATTTATCACTGTCTGTCAAGCAACCAGCCATTAACAAAAAATGGGACATTAATTGTGAAGCAAAACTTCTGGATTAAAATACAATTTTATTCATCATAGTGAGTATATGCATCACCACGGTGGTGAAACCAGATACTGATACGAATATCCTACACGCAGACTGGGCAACATTGACCTGGTATAGACACAGCTCGCTCACCACATACAGGTCTTTCACACGTCAACTTTTGGTCGATGCATAAAATAAGTCCATCACTGCATTTACATCCATAACAGTCGTCATGGAAACCTATGTCTTCACCATCGTCATACCAATTACCGTCTTTGTAACAGGCTGAAATGGAAACACACTTTAAAAAAATATTGATTAATATTTCCTACCTACGGAAGCCGGTTAGTGTCAGGGTGTAGTTTTATTTTTTAAGTCGTTATAACGACTTAGCTAACCAACCCCATCCTTGAAATAATGTGTCGCATAAATTTTTATATTGTTAGTTGAAATATTATAGAACCGAATGAATGTTATATCAACTTGAGTCGTATTGACCTATGTTTTAAGTATAAACAAATTCACATGTTGGCTAATATTGTATACATGTATTGAACATTAAACAAAAGACCTTGAGTAAAATATGCCCTGAAACTCTTAATATGCTGCAGTCGTACAATGCTATTGTTTGGAATGAACAATAAAATAAATATTAATTTCATTATCTGTAGGCTGTATAATAGAACTTACCATTTGACGCCAAAGTTGAAACAATCAACAACATGTACATAAAAACCCCAAGGAACTTAATCATAGTTGATCGTAAATGTTCGAATGGTCAACCTGGAAGATATACATATATAAGGCGAACGAAAACGACGAGTACTAATGCATAAAGTAAACCATGCAGTATAAATAAAAATGGTCTATGTATATGTACTTCTTGGAGTAAATAAAATGTTTAAAATTACTCGGCACATCTCTGGAAAAATCTTCATCGGTTCAAACATAAACGCCGATTTTGCTTGAATAAGCTGCAACCTTAGTTTATTACAATTACACCAGAAGATAAAATCAGAAAATCACATTGAAACCATACAAAGACTGATGCTACCATCACCGGGATTGGCAGGTCACAAGCAATAGTAATAACACCACTGCTAGCCCGTATTTGTGCCTGGTTGTCAATGATTCTATATTGGCGTTATTTACATGTATTACCATTTGTCCGTATCACTGCTGGTAGATTGTTTGTCCATAGTGGTGCCTGGTTGTCAATGCTTCTATATTGGCGTTATTTACATGTAATACCATTTGTCCGTATCACTGCTGGTAGACTGTTTATCCATAGTGGTGCCTGGTTGTCAATGCTTCTATATTGGCGTTATTTACATGTACTACCATTGTGACCGTATCGCTGCTGGGGGACTGTTAGTCGATAGAGGTACGGCGCCTGGTAGCTAATGTTTCTTTCTATATTGGCGTTATTTACATTTACTACCATAGACTATGTACTAACATTGTGTCTATAGCGCCACTGGTGAACTGTTTGTCAATACTGGTGCCTGGTCTCTCGGTCATAAAACTTTACTCAGTAATCGGAGTACAAAATTTGTGCTCGAAACACCGAATCCAGTATTTTGATTGGTTGGTTACTGAGTCTGATTACGATAATCGTACTCGAAAGTTTTATGACCACAAGGCCTGGCAGCCAATGCTTCGATATTGGCGTTAACTAAGGGATATGTAATGGTTTTACATTTTTGTTTCTTAATTCTGTTTTGTAATAAAATTACTTATGTTTCAACTGCTTCAGTCAAAGTTTTGATGCTCTCAAATGCCTTGGCTTCCAAACCTGATGGCGGTTGTTCGGGGGATACATGTCGCACGATTTAGGTTCGACAATTTAGTTACTTGTATGACAGTTTATACAATTATACTGTTTTAAATGCTTTGATAGGAAAGAAAATAGCATGTGATGAAATGTCAATGGTCAAGCCAAGCTCATTTTATTTGGCTATATAAAAATAAGGACATAAAGAATGTGACGGAGTTTAACATGTTTGAAGGCGCCAACCCTCCCCTAACCTGGGACAGTGGTGTAACAGTACAACCCTCCCCTAACCTGGGACAATGGTGTAACAGTACAACCCTCCCCTAACCTGGGACAGTGGTGTAACAGTTCAACATAAGAACAAACTATAAAAATCAGTTGAAAAAGGCTTAACTCATCAGATCGATACAAAGCAGAAAAAACATCTAACAAAAACACAGACCGGACGTGGCAGGGTATTTATACATCCATCAAAACAAAAAAAGACACAGAGTACAGATCTGAGAGTACTTGACAACTAGTTCAAAGCCAATAACAACTAAAAAAATTCATGTATCTAAGGCTAAAATATCAATCAATTCACATCCAACATCAAAAGGATTTAGTGTTAAGATGTCATTAACAGTCAAAGAAAAATGACCTTATACTTGTTTCCAACAAACCTTTTCAAATGTATTAGTTTACCTTTGACATTCACTGTGACTCCATATATCCTTTTATTTAAAGCTTTTGCTGTAAAATGATAATACAGTTCGAAAATATTGAAATTAGATAGGAAAAAGAAGTGATAAGTTTTGAAGACAATTATTATTATAATTGACCGATGCAGTGATGCGAGGTCACGATTTCATGGTTTAAGGAGCAGAAAACAATCATAATGTCTTACTCAAAAGATATTTATTGTTTTAACATGGAAGTTTAGTGAAGTTGATTGAGCTTCATGAAAGAAAAAAGATAATCATCAAAACTAGAAAAAAATGATGCAACTCGGCTCAAAGTTTTGTTCAAACAATATCAAAATTATTAGCATGTCACTTTATAGGAACCAAACAATACAATATGTATTGAAAATTAAATAAATATAGCTAATACTATAGTAGTACTCACAGTGCTGTGATATTTACAGTGTCGTTATAGGACTGTCAATACATTAACAACCACTATAAATAGTGTATTGAATACCTGCAGACATGACAACATATGTCTGTAATGGTTTTCATAAAATAGAATTGACATCATTGAAATTCACAAATAGATGGCAATGCATTAATGGAACAGTTCAACATGACATATTTATTAACTACAATCTCGAAACCATCCTTGTGGCAAGAGTACACCATTGCAGATTTGATTAAATACTAGTATGCTATTTAGCTTTCATTGAAGCAACATTCAGCCAGAACCGCTTACAATAAACAGATTATCAAAGCTAATTGTGTAGAATACGGAGATATGATATAGCTGCAATTGTCGGATTGCAGACTTTGAAACTCACCTTTGAGTTCATTCATTCCAACCGAAGAAGACTATGACCACTCAAACATCAAACGGGCCTTTTTCGATGATAAGAGACTATGACCACTCAAACATCAAACGGGTCTTTTTCCATGATAAGAGACTATGACCACCCAAACATCGAACGGGTCTTTTTTTATGATAAGAGACTATGGCCACCAGATAAGAGACTATGACCATCAGTTTATAAGGCAAAAAAGAACTAACAGATAAACTACGAATTAAATACTGTAATTATAAAATATGACGATTTTCACCCGAATATCAATACATAGTTGAAGTATCATGAATTTATAGAGTTGTCGTTTGTTGATGTGGTTCATAAGTGTTTCTCGTTTCTCGTATTTTATATAGATTAGACCGTTGGTTTTCCTGTTTGAATGGTTTTACACTAATCATTTCTGGGGCCCTTTATAGCTTGCTGTTCGGTGTGAGTCTAGGCTCCGTGTTGAAGGCCGTACTTTGACCTATAATGGTTTACTTTTACAAATTGTGACTTGGATGGAGAGTTGTCTCATTGGCACTCATACCACATCTTCTTATATCTATATATTATGTTCGATTTACAAGAATCAGCATTTTATTTTTCCGGTTTTTCCCCATTTGTTCGCATATACATTACATTTTGTGCCAGATTACTCTACTATTATTATTTAATAGCTCTTGAAGTGGGGGAAGTGTAGTGGCGCTTTCCTTGAGCTAGAAGATTGGTAACTGTTTTAACCCGTTTCATATATTGGCTCCATTTAATTCAATGGACTGTGTTGATTTACCCGTGGCTTACTGTCCCAAAGGCCCCAAGCTTGTGTTGATCGACCCGTGGCTCACTGTCTCAGAGGCCCCAAGTTTTACCTTGACCCGTGGCTAACTGTCCCAGAGGCCCCAAGTTTGTGTTGATTGACCCGTGGCTAACTTTCCCAGAGGCCCCAAGATTTTGTTGATTGACCCGTGGCTTACTGTCCCAGAGGCCCCAAGATTGTGTTGATTGACCCGTGGCTTACTGTCCCATAGGTCCCAAGTTTGTGTTGATTGACCCGTGGCTTACTGTCCCAGAGACCCCAAAATTGTGTTGATTGACCCGTGGCTTACTTTCCTAGAGGCCCCAAGATTGTGTTGATTGACACGTGGCTTACTGTCCCAGAGGCCCCAAGATATTGTGTTGATTGACCCGTGGCTTACTGTCCCATAGGTCCCAACTTTGTGTTGATTGACCCGTGGCTTACTGTCCCAGAGGCCCCAAGATTATGTTGATTGACCCGTGGCTGATTGTCCCAGAGGCCAAAAGTTTGTGTTGATTGACCCGTGGCTTACTGTCCCAGAGGTCACAAGTTTTACCAAAAGTGTGTGTGTGTGTGTGTGTGTGTGTGTGTGTGTGTGTTCTAATTATATACATGTAGCTATTCAGCTAAACAAATAGGTTGGTTTTTTGGGCTGTTTGAAATATAACAGATCGTTTTAGCTTAACTATGTAACCTAGCCTAGTGTGAGATGTTGTTATCATTTGTCGTTCGTTAATTGTTTGGTTTTGTTTTTTATTCTTTGCTGAAATCACAAGGCTAACTGAAAACCAAGCTTCGCTAAAATAAACCTGAAAGTGTTTGTTAACTAAAAAGTAAAATAACAAAAATACCGAACTTCAAGGAAAATTCAAAACAGAAAGTCCCTTATCAAATGGCAAAATCAAAAGCTCAAACACATCAAACGAACGGAATACAACTGTCATATTCCTGACTTAGTACAGGCATGTCCTTATGTAGAAAAAAGTGGATGAAACCTGGTTTTATAGCAAGCTAAACCTCTCACTGGTATGACAGTCGCATAGAATTCCATTTTATTGACAACAATGTGCGAGCAAAACAAACAGACATAAAAGTAAAAGTGTCAAAAATTAGGGTACAGCAGACAACATTGTGTTATAATCTTAATCAATATAAAACAAACAACTATGTCAACAACAAAAAAAACATATTGACACTCTATAGACAAAGCACATAAGCAAAAATGGAAGACAGCTACAAAAAATGACCATAGCACAATAACACAATGGCGGGATGTATAAATACCGAGCAACGCCAAAAGGATATTACCAAAAATGGACTAAACAGTAAAGGTTAACTGTATTAGATGTTCAGATCTTAACAAATAACTCTACCACCTTTACAATAACTAAACAGTTAGATAAAAAGAAACAATAAATGAACGTTGTAAATTAAAAGGTTTAATGAAAATGCTACATTAATAAAAAAAACTGTCAAGGGCCAAGTGTTACAAAACTTTTGATGAATGATGCATTTATGATCCCCTTAAACTATTGTGGTTGATATCCCCAAATGCAATCCGTCATGGCAGCCCTCCTGGTACTACAATACAATGTGTGACATATGCATCTTGCCTGACATTTTTTAGTGAATGCAAAAATTTTATTCAACTGTTTTGGCGTCATGTTTATAACTTAAGTTAGGCGCATTCGTTCCCCCTCCTCTTCCCCAGTGTATGCTGTTGTCTGCTCTATGGTCGGGTTGTTGTCTTTTTGACACATTCCCCATTTCCATTCTCAATTTTATTTATGCAGTTATAAACAGTTGACCTCAAATCTTTCCTGATCAAATACGCGGTTTAGAATTAATAAAACAACAAGACAAGAAAATCAGAACAAAGGAACAGACATTTTGTCTTTTTAAAAAACATGTAGAAAATGGAATTGTTTGCCTTAAGTGGTGATACATATGTATTATCATTTACTGTAATCAAATAAGAATATCCTCTCTATCTCATTGCATGCAGAATAATAGATGTGGACTCATCAGGAGCAAAACTACATGGAAATGATAACGGCGATACTGTAAAATATCTAGCTGCAAGCATCGACCAGCGAAATAACAAATTGTCTGGCGATAGTTAATGCCAAGTACATTAAAAGAAACTACAACTCTTCTGTCAAAAACACGATCACATACTAGGCAAAATTTATCCACATTTTCTAATACTATATGCAATAGATCAACTATATTTAGTGTATGGAATGATTGTAAGGTGTACATGTTAGGTTTCATCTGACCTTGACCTCATTGTCAGAGTTCATTGGTCAGTTGGGAGTTTTTGGATTTTAAAATGATGATGATGATGATGATGATGATGATGGTGATAATGATGATGATGATGATGATGATGATCATTTTTTTTAGTCTCGCCTGTCAGACGGCGGCGGCGGCGTAATCTATTTGTATATGCGAGACAAAAAAATCCTCCTCCTCCTCCTCCTCCTCCTCATCCTCCTCCTCATATCATCATCATCATCATCATCATCATCATCATCATCAAGTTGCTTCAATTTCTCTTCACAAGGTTTTATAGTACATATTTTTTTTGTGTACAAAGTAATTCATGCTTAGTTACTTTGTGCACGATAAAATTATGTACTATGAAACTTGGAATGTAAATTTAAGCAATTTGATTGGACGAGGAGTTGCCAGTATATGCTAATATATACTTAGCCCATATTAACTACTTAGTGCTTTTTTATTTTCCACATTCTTAAACTTTTTATCTGTTATCACAAGTACGTTTTTCGAATCATTTCTGTTATTTTCTGTTAATTTATATTGTCGTATGAAGATATCTACATTTCTGAAAATACCAAAAAGACAAATACGCATAGTGATCTTAACAATAACTTTTGTTCAAATTTTCTTTCAAGTACAATAAATATAATAGTTATCTTTTATTTCCAGAAAATTTACAATGTATTTGTTTTTAAGTTGATTCAAGTGCACACTTAAAATGTTGCAAGAGGATTCTAAAAATGTTCTGATATATGAATGTACGACTTTCTGAATCCGTTGATAAATCACCATCTTTACAATGCAAACGTTTACAAAAATGGAACTTCAGAGCCATAGACATTGAAGGAAAAATATGACTCTGATCACCGAAATAAAAGGACATTAGCTGGGAAATTCCGAGGTTTATTGACACAGGATAACTGTCTTAATCAATTAGATCCGTTGATAGTTTAATAGAACCAAAAGTACTAAACATTTAATATTACATTCTCTGCCTTATACCAGCTATAATGAAGGTTCTGAGGATAGTCTACGTTGTGTCGATATTCCTCATAAGTAAAAGTCTATCTTCAAAGTGTACAACAACTAGAACCGGAAATGATGTGTTTACGGATTGTCATGGAAGGGCTTTCCGGAATGTGCCTAGAAATATTCCTAACGATACCACATATTTGGACATGTCTGACAATAAGTTGCCCATTATTTTAAACTTCTCATTTTCCGGACTAAAACATGTTTCTAGT